AAAAAAAAAAAAAACCACCCAAATTTTAAGTGGAGACTGTAAGAAGTACCAGACAGGAATCCCACCATCATGGAAAACCTGCCACGGGCATGATGGGAATACCACGGCCCCAGTACTTGGAGGCTGAAGCAGGAGGGCTGAGATTGAGAACAGCACGGGCTGCAAAGGAAAACCCTGCAACAAAGGCAGAGTTGCAGGCCTGGATCTATTAGAGAAAATGGATCTGAATTCCTTACTGAAAATCTTCTGGATAAGAACACTTCAGAGCCCGGATCACTGCACTGGTGAAATGTGACCAGCACCCCAGGAGAAACAAGGAAATACTATCAGTGTTACACAAACTGGGAAAAGAGACGAGGTATGAGCACTTAGTAGCTGACCTATGACCCAAATCAAAGATATTATAGATGATGTACAGGCTACATTTTAATGAATATAGCCACAACTTATTAATAAAAATCATGGAACTGAACTAGAAAAAAATACAACTAAATGGGTCATATGTCTGAGCCAGGCACACTGGCACATGTCTATAATCCCAGCACTCAAGAGGCTCAGGCAGGAGGACTGAGAGTTCAAGACCTCTTGGTCTCCTGACACACACACAAAGAAAGATGGTTTTCATATTCAGAAATTAATGAAATTCTTGACATTTTAACAGAAAACAATAATCATACAATTTTCTTATTGAAAAACGAAAATATAACTTTCCCTTAGCCAGAAGGGAAAAAAGAAACTACCCAGCTGAGGATGGGTATCTACCAAAACACATACCAGGCCATGCCTGGAAGGCACAAGTCAGTGCTTTCCTGAGACAGCTGCTCTTGTCATGTCTATTCAGTGTGGGTGGTGCTCACCTATCAAACAATGCAAGGAAAGGAAGCTGGAGCTCTGGGCCCCCTGTACTCTCCTGTTCACACTGTCCCTGGGCTCCTCATCTGTGCTAGCCCCTGCACACTCCTATGTATACCATCTTTCGAAAAATCTTCATCTTGATCAATACTTTGGGCCTATAAGAAGCACACAGAGTAAAAAAGTCACTTCTCATTGCTCTGGGGAATCTGGACTTTCTCTTCAAAGGAGAATACATCACTATCCCAAAGGACTAGAGAAAGTCAGAAAAATAAAAAAGAACATGGCTAACCAAACAAAAAATTAGCAGGGGGAAAAGGGAAAGACATATATGTACCTAAAAACTATAGTAAAATATTCAGCCATTCAACAAAAGTACAAGTAATAAACCATGCTGAAGTAAGAAAATAAACATGGAAAAATGTTGTAGAATAATCCTTCTGTATACTGTGAATATGTATTGCTCTCATGGGTTAATAAAAAGCTGACAGGCCAGGAGCTGGTGGGAAAGACAAACTGAGAATGATGGGAAGAAGGAGGGCAGAGTCAGAGGAGACGCCAGTCAGCCCAAGCAAATAGGATGTGTAGAAAATGAGGTATCAAACAATGAGCCATGTGGTAAATAATAGAAATATGGGTTAATTAAATGTAAGAGCTAGCTAGTAACAAGCCTGGGCTATTGGCTGTGCATTTATAAATAATATAAGCCTCTGTGTGGTAATCAGGAAGAGGTCCCTGGGACAGGAAAACTCTGCCTACACAAAAATGCCACATAACTTCCAGGATCTGGAGAACAGATGAGGTGACTCTACCACTCTCTAACTCAAGCCTCTTTTAAGTACCAGCCAGGTTTGGAAGAGGAAGAAAACCTGCCTCGGGTATTACCAGCTTCCGCCCCTCCAGGCAGGTGGCTCTGGGCTAACAAGCCTCTGAAGCTCCAGCTCTTCAACAGCAAAAGGGACACAGCGATAGGTACTCTTGGGTTTCTGGAAGTATTTACTAACTAAGGGAAATGAAATGCTTAGCCTAGGACAGACTACCAATGGAACAATGTTTATGACACGAATGGCATTCAGTGTAGTACTGGTTAAAACAAACAAACAAACATCCCAACCTGCCAAAGGATTGTTATAGAAACGAAGCTGGTGAGGCCTAACCGTATAGCCCACCTTCGGGCCTTTGTTTGCATGCATGTGGCACACACAGGTTAAGAGTCTTCAGAACAGGAAGCATTGCACTCCACAGGCCTTCCCAAACCACGGCTACAAACCCCGGTAAACCTACTCTTTCTCCTTGAACTCTGGCAAATCCAGGTACCAGTGCTCATCGCTGATCATCTTCTTTTCCTCCTCTTCTAGCTGTTTCTTGGTTTCCGAGTCCAGGCCCCTTTGCATGAACTGTCAGAAGAAAACCAAGCAGTGTCAGAGCCCTTGCTCCTCCGTACCATGGGTGCGCAGGGCAGATAAGGAGCTCTGAGTATCAATGAACCTGGACTTGTTTTAGCTTTCTAGACTTCCTTGTGGTTCAAAGTACAGGGGTCCCGTCGCTGCCCCTTATGTTCCTGGTGTATTCCTTCCTGCCCTGTATCTTCCATTTCTCCTCAGCAGACGCTTTAAGGCACACAGATTGCCACACATGTCTACACGGGATAGAGAGGATGGAGCACTCTGCGGCTGTGAATACAGTACAGCTAGGCTTAGGAAGAAGTTCAATGTTGGCGCTACAACATCTCAGGACACACTCTAAAACTAGCAATTTCACTCTCTGCACGCCAAACTGAGGGCCCAGAGCAGATCCGGCAAAGTCCAGCCCTCAGGGTGGATCTCTACTGTCTATGGTTTCCTGGAACATAGCATGCTGATTTACTTCTGGGCAGTAATGGCAGAGCTCAGTAGTGCACGAGTCCTCACTGGCCTACAAGCCTAGAATATTTACTATCTTGACCTTTACAGAGCGCACCAAGCCTATGTCCTAAGGTCCAGAAAAGAACCATACCACTAACAAATACCATATGCACCCAAACCGCCACCCTGGCAAACCTTCTACCCAATCCTTCTCTCCCACCAGAACTACCTTCATCCTAAATAGCTGCCCTAGATAGAGGAATTCAAGAATACTGACGGGCCTGGCAAGATGGATCAATGGGTAAAGGTGCTTGTTGCCGAGGCCGACAACCTGAGTTTGATCCTCAGGCCCACTTGGAAGGAGATATGACACTGGTTAGTTGTCTACAATGTGCCATGGCACACATACACACAAAATAAATCTAATAAATTAAAAAAAAAGAAAAAAGGACCTGAGAGATGGTTCAGTGGATAAGAGTACTGGCTGCTCTTCGAGGGGACTCCTAGCACCTATAATGGGGCTCACAGCCCTCTGTAACTCCATTTCAAGGGGACCTCACATCCTATTCTGGCATTCTTGGGCATCAGGCATACACACTGGCAAAACACCCTTATACATAGAATAATTAAAAACTTTTAATTAAAAAATACTGAAGTAAGTCAGGACTAAATGTCTGATGCTCCCACACTTGCCCTATGAGCTCTCCCTGACAGGCGGCCTGGCCGGGATTCCCTAGGCACCTCTGCTCCAATCCTTCTAGTATGCACTGCTCTGGCTGAGCATAATACTCCTGTCCCAGCACAAAGACCTCTGTCAATAGAGCTAAGGCAAACAGAACATGGGCAACGCTCTCCCACACACCCGTCACGTCCAGTTGGCTCTCGTTCCCTTGGGTGAGGGAACATAACTGCTTTAATTATTTTCAAGTCAAGAGGCAGATCTGCAGTGTTCACCCTGGCTGCTTAGCAAAGTCTCCCTTGTCTTTTTCCAAGAGCTGAGGCTACTCGGTGCTTCCCAGGTCCACTCCAATTCTCTGCAATCAGTGTGATGACAAACTGCTAAAACTGGTAGACTCACATTTTGCTCACATACAGGAAGAAGTACTTCCCAGACGACAACAGGGGCCACTTGCCCACCCTCTTTCCTTATCCGGCTCACCTCCAGCTGCGCTCCAACTCCATGATATCCAAAGCTAGCAGGGAACGCTTCCTCCTCGACCCTCACCACAGTACTCATCCACGCCTTGTTTCCTGGCCTTGGGAACCCCACTGTTCTCTAAGTTTGAGCCTCCAGCTCACCATAAGCAGTCGGGCCACACCTTTAAAAGGTTAGCGGAATGGCCCATCTTTAAGATGGTGGGACTTTGATAGCACCCATCAGAAACAGTCCTCTGGGTTCTGATCTTTTCCTGCATTGGCCATATGGAACAGGAGACTCTACTATGATGGGGGTAACGGGCCACCACTCCCAGAAAGCCACACCATCCTAGGGGTAGGCAAGAGAAGCTCGACAGTGTACTGTATGGTGTGGCTAAACTATACCATTTCACAGGGCAGCTCTGCTAAATACGTTTTTTATAATACTGTTGAGAGAGATGTCTCAGTGCCACCTGTGTGTTCAGTGACAGGTGGCAGAGACTAATCATTACAAGTGTAGGCTCTGGAGCCGGATGACAGGTCTTTTTAGCTGCTACTTCTCCTGCAGACACTTCAGGTGTCATCAGAGATCAAGGCTGGGGCTACTTCAAAGTGACCATGTGAATTAAGAAGTCTATTATATATGAAACAAGAACAGAGTCAGAAGATAGGAAGGACTGTAATAAGTCCTAGTAGTATTACTTAGGTTTCAGGATTTAGCTTTCCCGTCTTAACTCATGTTCATTTCATTTGCCTTTCACCTCACTCTCCTTTTCAGACTGTAGTTAGATAGATTCAGGTTTCTGTTATTGTCGTCTTTTTGACATTTCGTGAAAGGGTCTCAGGTCTAGTCCAAGCTGGCCACAAACTTGTTAAGCAGCTGACAGTCCTGGGACTACAAATGTGACCCCCAAGTCACTACTGGTTCAAACTGGTTCAATTTCAAATTTAAAAATCATGAGCCTGGAACGTTGGCTCGGTGGCTAAGAGCCCTTCTGGCTCTTGCCGAGGCTCCAGTGCCCACACCCGGCAGCTTACAACTCCAGTTTCAGGGCCTCCAGCACTTCCTTCTGACCCTGCACGGACACCTGAACACACACAGTGTAGATTACAGACATACAGGCATACAAAAAGAATAAGCATAAACCTAAAACACTGATTTTGTTTAGAAGTTGACAGACAACTCATTTCACCCCTCCTGTACTCTTCTCCATCCCCAGCACAACGGCGACCTTCATCCAGAACACAGGACCTTTTAGCTGGTCTTCCTGACTGTAAGTTTATGTGTTTAACTATTATCTTTAACTATTATCCACAGTACAGTCAAAAGTAGCCTTGAAAGCTAACAACGCATGAGACTGTTCCCTGGTTTAACAGTTTGCTACCGCTTATGAGAATGGGGAACAAAAACTTCGGTCTGGCTCACAAAATTCCTTGGATGTCGTGATCACTAATTCTTCCAGACGTCCGAGCTACTTTTTGTTCTTGGAAATAAATGTTCGTGGTTTTCTATTCTCCCTCTCCGACTTCTGAACTTAACTTTCCCTAGTTTGGGACACTACCTGACATCCTCTCACGTTGTTCCTTCTTAAGGACCACTTCTCGCGAGATGCCTAAGTTCCCAGGCGGCCCTGACACTTCGGCAGTCAGCCCGGACATTTCTGGTTCTTAAGTTTGTGCAAGCTCCGTCCCTACCACGGATTTCGGGCTCCAGGAGAGTCTGCCTAAGCAGAATCTCACCCTCACCCTGGTTCCCAGTGCCCCGGCAGGATGAGCGAATGAATGGGAGCGCGCGCCGCGGCCATCCAGGGCCCATCAGGGGTCCAGTTTGTCCGTCGCCTCGGCCCGAGTCACTACGGGACATCTCGGAGTTCAGCCGCCCCGTCCGACACCCCGGCCACCCCCAAGCCCCGCACCTTCATACGCAGCAGGTTCTTGGATAACTTAGTCTTGCGTTCAGACGCCATGTTGGCGACACTTCCAGACGCTAGCCGCGCCACCGCGCTTGCGCATTGCCAAGCACAGAGCGTGACGTCGGACTGAACGTGCCCCGCCTCTCGCCACGTCGCCTTCCCTCGCCGCCGCCCTCTAGCCCCGCCCACATATCTGCCCCGCCCATATTAGACACACCCTGCTGTGTTGTCCCGCCCCTCCATCCGCTTTCGCCCCGCCCACGTGCCTAGTTCTAGCTTCTCTGCTCCTCCGGGAGCTCCTCTTTCTCCTAGGAGCTGTGGTAAGAACTCAGGCTGCCGCGGGGGGGGGGGGGGGGGGGGGGGGGGGGGGGGACTGCGGTGCAGGGTCCCAGTGTTTACCCCAGGAAGGCAAACGAAGTGGGATGCCGCTGGAGCTGTGGGCAGGGCCTCCCGGAGGCCGCTGCGACTCCAGGGGCCCCCCTAAGGGTCCTGGCTGATCAGCCGCCGAAGTTGCTGCCAGAGTTTAAAAGTTTTGGAAACACGACTGGTTTGCTCACTCAGTAGCTCGTTTTCTAGAACTCCCGGTAGCCCTTGAGTCGCTGGTGTCGCTGTTCTAGCCCAGTCACAGAGTGAAGGAGGTGGCCCCGAAGCCAGTGTTGAGAGTGAGGCTGCTGTGCCATTGCACCGCTGCACAGGAAACCACGGAAGATTAGTAATTGTACATACACCTGTTTGCCGTGCATCTTTGAGCTGGAAGGATTTCCCTCTTAAACAGGAAGAATAACAGGAACTAGCAAATGGGAAAGGCGACAAAGAATTTGTGAAGAGGCCAGGGATGATTGGTTTAGCGCTGGCAAGCCTGAGGACTTGAGTTGGACCCGTGGGATCCGCATGATAGAAGGACAGAAGTTGCCCTGACTTCACACATGCCCACACCTGAAAACAAATAAATGTAAATTACTAAAAACAAAGAACCTTGAGAACTATATTAAGGCAAACAATTATAGATGCATTAGCTTTAGAACCTTCCTATTTAATGCTCACTGTACCTCCTGAAGACATTTTTTTTTTTTCAGATCGTGCTCAGGGACCATACTTTGGAATGCACTTATGCACTTAATAATCGGTCAGCTGTTTGCATGCAGTGGATAGTATTTTTTTGAGCTGGCTCCTGAACCCTGTAGGAACACCAAGGAAACACATCATTGCTGTGTATTAAGCAACCTGCCGGAGAAGGTGGTAAAGCTGAGCTTCATAAAGCATTCCGGATATTAAAAGCCCTGAAGGTTTTTCTCAGTGGAGTAAATAAAGACATAATGTGTTAAGTGGTTACAGAAACACATTGACTCGTAACTGTGAGCGAGACATTGCAGAGTATCAAGTGGCTAAAAACACATTACCACCCCAGAGCTGGCTTTCTGTACGTTAAAAAGTGGTTAAGTACCACGGGAGAAAGAAAGCTACTGTGCGGAGTGACTTTTAGGGTCACTTTAAATTTAGTCGACGTTGGTCCTCTTCAGATGAAAGTGGGAAGACTTGAAAGTCAAGAACATGATGTTGTGTGAAGACTTGGAGGTGACGTATGCAAAGAGGAGAGCATAGCAGCTCCCCAAATGAGAACCAAGCTCTTGTCCCCGCGTTTACTGCCTGTTACCTTGTTACTGGCCAAATCCCCTGTGACCAGCTTAGGCCCCCTTCCATTGGTAGATTGAAGTCCTACCCCCATTGTATTAGAATGGGATTGTGTTTGGAGAGAAAGAGGCAATTAAGTTAAACGGAGTCCTTTTGGGTGAGCCCAAATCCAGTATGCCTGGTATGTTTTTGTTTTTGTTTTTGCTTTTCTTGAGGGCTAGAGATGAAAACCAGAGCCATAGCCCAGGCAAGTGCCCTATGACTCAGCTACATCTCCAGCCTTGTCTTATAAGATAAAAACTGAGCACACCAGAGGTGTGTATGCTAAAAGAATGAGCATCTCTATGCCAAGGAAAGAACCCGCAGGAGAAACCAAAGCTACTACCACTTTGCTCATAACTGTAAGAAATAAAGGTAGCCCTCCAGCCAAATTTGTAGTGTTTTGTTATGATGGCCACAGCCCAACTGTAAATTACAGTTGCTACCGATAGCCTGCTGAGCAGAGATGACACAACAAGGGTATCTGAGCCCCTCTGGCCTGGAGAAGGCAAAATGTGTCCCAAGTGGAGGGACATTGAAACAGACAAGAAAAGAGTGGAATTAGCCCAAGGAAAGGACTCCCAGTCCTCCCCACGGCTGTGCTACCATGGCTGACTGCCACCCATTCCTCATCTTGTAAAACTGAAAACTCTGTACCAAGAAAACAAGAAGCCATTGCACATGCTATTCTACTTTCTTACTGTAACATGAGGAGGCCGGCTTGTTGGGGTTTCCGTCCCGCCCAGTACCCCACAACCGGCAAGCCCAAAGAAAATCACACACAGGACTCCACAAGATTATAAAGCTGATTGGCCCATTAGGTCAGGCTACTTATTAGCTCTTATAACTTATGTTACCCCATTATCCTTATCTACATTAGCCACACGGCTCAGTACCTTTCTCAGCTGGGCAGCTTACATCATTCCTCTCTGGTGGTCTGGGCAGAACTGGCTGAGGGAGCTTCCTGCTTTCCAGAATAATACCAGGCTCTTTGCTCCACCCCTACTTCCTGTTTGGCTTTCCTGCCTATACTGCCTGCCTGGCCAATCAGTGTTTTATTAAAATATGATTGACAGAATACAGATAATTCTCCCACACCATCTTACTCCGAATTTGACTCCTTTGCGGGGGGTGGGGGGCGATCTCGAAAGAAGTGCTGGACAACAGAGGTGAAGGAGTGTCTTCGTCTCTCATCTACCTCCGGGAAACTATAGGGCATCTGAATTAACTCTTGAAGGATGAGTAGATTTGGGTTAAGAAGAGGAAACCTTGGTAGATATAATAGCATGTGTCCAACCAGCAAAGGCAGTTAAAACTTTCCTTTGGATTGCTGTTATGTCTAGTCTCCCTGAACACTGGATTTTGATTTTGATTTTCTTGAAACACCGACATTGTTGTGTCAGTTCTTCAGCACTTGTTTGAGGATGAAGGCCAAAGTTTTCAACCGGTCCACTCAAAAATATTCTGTATTTTTGACAATGCACGTACTTAATATGAATACCCAAAGGTCCTACCTCTCGAAATGTAACATATGAGAAGTGATTTAAGACCAACAGTCTCATTGTGGCTTTGCATGACTCCCCACAGGGGAGGTAACTCCTTAATCTTTTTAGTGGCATTGAATTATAGAGCACAGATAGAGATGCCATACACAATAACCCACTGTGATTATGCACAACTACGAAAACATTGTTTTGTGATCAGAATTGTCTTGAGTCTCCACACAGTACTGAGCTCCATCAAGAAAAGGGCCCCACTCCCTCCCCCCCATCCTTCCTCCCCTTCATTTCTGCAGCACTGATGTCAGAGCTGCCTGCAGCAGCTCACCCCTTCGCCAGTGCAGGAACCAGAGTGGATGAATCCGTGGCCAGCAGAGGAAGCACTGCCGCAGTGACTCAAGGCAGCTGGCGTATTAAGTACCACTTCATATTGCTGTTCACTTGCTTGCAAGTACCTGGTATTGAAGTGGCTCGTGCAAAACAGATCTATTTGGATACTCAGCAGTTCATAGAATTGATAAGGAGGGTTGAGGAGGAAGGTAAGGAGGCACACGCCAGAACCACCAAGGGGTCTTGGAAGCAGGAATGAATGATTGTAAACTGCCACTGTAAGAACGGATGAACACCAGGGGCTTTCTCTGATCTTAGGGCACACTGCTCACGATTTCAAGGTCAAGGAGACTCTCCTTTTGTCTTGGTTTAGGGTAGGACCTGATTTATAATCCCAGTGAGACCCCATAGTGGGGAGAGTAATAGCGCTTGCTGTTTCTCCAAGAAGAGAGAGTCATTATATTGGCCCAAATGGCAGTGGCAAGAACAGACACCCACTTAAAGCAGGAAAGGGGAGAGTGCGGCTGAGGGTCCCAGAAGACAACGAATTTAATTGCTGATTGGGAAACGCATATATCAGGCATCAAATCTGTTTTTTTCTCACAAAATGTGCTCCCTCTGCCTGTTTCCCTGATCCATTCATTAAACAAGTACTTACTGGCTGGCTGCCAGTTACGTGCAAATTGTGAATCCAGGACAACCAGCCTCAAAACCTAAGTGGTGAGATGCATCCCTTGTGCTCTCGTGTTAGGTTCCTTGTTAAATTCTATCAATTGCTTGTGCATAGATATCTAGACATGGCCTTGCAGGTTCTATGGATGAGTAATTTCTAAACATGTTTTGACCATGGAAATTGAATGACCAGACTATTCAAAGAAAATTAAAATGTGCTAAAAAGAAAAAAAAATATGTTTTGCTGTATGATTCTTGTGCTAACTATTCTTGTTGGCACACCTGGGAAGAGAGAGCCTCAGTTGAAGAATTATCATCAGATTGGCCTATGGAAATACCTATGGGGCTTGTCTTGATTGTTAACTGATTGGATGTAGGCAGTGTCACCCCTGGGCTGGTGGTCTTGGATTGTGTAAGTAAGGAAGCTAGCTGAGCTGACGCAGAAAGCAAGCCAGTAAGCAACATTCTCCCATGGGCTCTGCTTTGGTTCTTGCCTTGGTTTCTCCCAATGGTAGACTGTAAACTTGGGAGCGAATAAACCCTTTCATCCTCACGTTGGTTTTGATCAGCATGCTTCCTTCCTCCCGCCCTCCTTTCCTCCCTCCTTTCCTTATTCCTTCCTTTCCTTTCTTCCCTCCCTTCCTTCTTTCCTTCCCCTTTTTCTTTCTTTTAAAAATCACAGCACAGAAACCAGACTAGGACAGTTCTTTTGTGTGTACTTGGGTGTTCTAACGTGTGGAGGCTAGAGGTCGATGTCAGGTGTCCATCACTCTTCACCTTAATTTTAAAGATAATTTCTCAATAAACCTGGAGTTCATCATTTCAGACAGACTAGCTGAGCAGCTAGCCGGTGTTCCTCTTGTCTCTAGGAACGGGCTGCTGTACATGGGTAGTGTGAGTGTGTGTTTGTGTGTGTGGTTTGTGGTGTGTGTGTGTGAGAGAGAGTTTGGGTATGTATGGTATG